CACACACAGACATAGACACAGACAGACACACAGGCACACACAGACACACACACACACACACACACACAGACAGACAGACAGACACACTGCGAACCTTCTGCAGAACGAAGAGGGACTGGTCGTACTTGGCGCGGCGATCACGCACGCGTCTGAAGACGGGAGTTGAAGAGGGAAGGGGGGGGGGAGAGCAAGCGATGAGGGCCGGCTTCGAGGCAATGTTGAATTCAGGCCACAGAGACTCCTTTCAACACACTCACACACACACACACACACACTCTCTCTCTCTAACACAACAAAGGACGTAACACAAGGCACAGCAGCACTGACGGGGTGAGGCGTTCGACGGTCTCCATGTTGTGGGCAAAGACGTCGAGCCCCGAGGTGGCAATGCGCTCGATGGACGGCACCGAGCCAGAGAAGTCCGGCGTCAGACACTCAACCAGGATGGCCGGGTTGCTGCAGCGGTGGTGGCCACGGTGGTGGATTGGTTGGTGGTGGGAAGGGAGGTGATGGTGACAGCGAGGTGAACTTGGGCGAACACGGGAGCGTTGCGTGTGTGTGTGTGTGTGTGCGTGTGTGTGTGCGCGTGTGTGTGGATGCAATGGTGCCATGTAATGTGAGCATGATGACAGGTGAGCACCACACGACACAACAACATGTGCATTCACGTACAGGCGCTTGAGTTCTTCAACAGTTCGCGCAAAGTGGTCCGCACCGCCATCGGGCATGTCTGGATTGTATTTGGGGGGGGGGGGGAATGGAAGTGAGGTGTGCACACATGGACGGCGTGGGAGGTCGCAATGACAGGTGGGTGGGTGGATGTCACGGCGGAACCGTGACACGACAGGCAGATAGCCAGGTAGACACACACACACACAGACGCACACAGACAGAGAGGCACACACACACAGACACACACACAGACACACAGACAGATTGCACACACAGACAGAAAGCATACACACACACACACACACACACACACACACACACACACACACACACACACACACACACACACACACACACACACGAACCGTCGCGGTCGACGGATGTGAGGACGACGTAGTCGAGCCCCCACTTTGCGATGGCGGCGGCGGTGTTGATGGGCTCGTCCTGGTCCACGGGCGGAGGGGCGTTGCTCGTCTTGATCGAGCAGAACCGGCACCCGCGTGTGCACGTGTCGCCCATCAGCTGGTCGCAAAATGCAGTGTGGCGTGGTGTGGCATGCGAATGGACGGAATGAGTGAGTGGGTGGTGGTGACGGTGGCCTCGCAGTGAGAAACAAGGTGGCACGAGACAGTGGTGCATGTAGAGGTGATGATGATGTGCGGATGCACTTGGAATTGTTGCGAGTTGAATGCCATGCAAGATGGAGGCGGGGAGGCAACGCATGAACGCTGGGTGGCGAACATGGTGTTTGGGGTGGGCCTACCATGATTGTAGCGGTGGCTGTGCCCTCCTTGCCACCCCAGCACTCGCCGATGTTGGGGCATCGCGCCTCCTCGCACACCTGTTGAAGTAGTGTCACAGGACGAACAGGGCCGCAACAGCGGAGCAGAGCGGAGAGGGGGGCGTGAGTGAGCACAAGCAGAATGGCACACTCAGACATATGAATACACGCCATAAGCACACACACACACACACACACTCACACAACAGTCCACAAGCAAGCATAACAGTGCCAGACATCCAGGCACGCCGGCAGAAAGACAGGCAGACTGATTCACACATGTAAAGGAGACCCATACCAACCCGCACAGACGTGCGTGTATTGCACGGACAAACACGCACGCAGAGCGCACATGACAGGCCAGGTACGTACTGTGTGCAGGTTGAGATCTCTGAGGTTCGACTTGATGCGGTGGTAGTTTGCGCCAAGCGGAATCTTGGTCTTGGCCCACTCTGGCAGGCGCAGTCTACAGCAAGCGAGAAGTGGACATGGTGGGGGGGGGGGAGGTGGGGCGAAAGAGGGTGGAAATGAGCGGGAATGAAAATATGCAACAAGGGTGCCACCAAGGTGTAGGGGACATCCCATGTCTTGATAACAGAAGCAGCCCCATGGACACGTGCACAAAAGCCCCCCTCCCCCACACAGACACAGACACAGACACACGTACCGCTGCTTTTTCTTGAGAGGCTTGCTAGCTTGTGCTGCTGGTGGGGGAGGCAAGTTGGAGATAAAGTCATCCAGACCTGGGCCGTCCTCTGGGATGCTGTTTGCGGAGCACACGAGCGTTTAACACACACACACACACACACACGCGCGCGCGTGTGAGTATGTGAGTGTATGAAGGCCAGCACGTTAACGGGTAGTTCCTTGCATGCAAACAACAACCAAGTTGTGTGGTTTCCATGGCATCTCACCACGAAGCTGTTTGAGTCACCGTTTCTCTCCACCACCCCCACACACAAGTTCACACACACAAACAAGTTCACAAACACACGCTGTCCAGCTGACGTACACTCGTTTTGTGTTTGTGGAAGATGATGGAGGAGAAGAGGAGGAAGAGGAGGACGAGAACCGCGTCTGTGTCATGGCGGAGGTTGCCACCGATGCACGAAGCAGGGACGACACCGTGGTCCTTGCGCCGACGTGGCTGGCCCCTGCCACCGATCGCTGCAGTAGCAGCACCTGCTGCACGCGTGCCGCTGCTGCTGCGCTGGAACAAGCCGCCGTCATCATCATCGCTTTTGTTGCTCTCTCGTGGTTGCTTGCTGCAAGAGGTTGGAAATGGCTGTTTTGCCAATTGCGGCTTCAGCTGACTGCGTTGCAAATTGTAGAAATAAGTTGGCGCCAAAACGTGCGCACTCTGCTATCCACCGCTGTGCTGCCGTGCGGATAAACGCGACGTTCGACACACACACTGCTGCCAGTGCCCACGGGTGCTTGTGCAGGAGGAACATCGCAAATATCCAGCAGCTGGCCAAAAGTGCGGCAACTCAAAAGTGCGGAAGCTGTTTTGTGCAGTGAGCCACGGCAAACAACAGCAGCGGCAGCAGTGCTGGTGAGGAAGCAGAGCAACGATGGCGGATCTCCGTGAAGAGCTGCAGCCGCGCAAGGCCAAGTGGCTTGCCTTCCTCGAGGACGTGGTGCGTTGTGTGTGTGTGTGTGTGTGCGTGTGTGTGCGTGCGTGCGTGTGCGTGTGTGTGCGTGCGTGCGTGTGTGAGTGTGTGTGTGAGTGTGCGTGAGTGTGTGTACATCTTGCGACGGACGCTGTGCATCTTTTGTGTGTGCATGCGCATGAATTGTGCCTGTGGCAATTGCGGCAACACTCACGAATCGGCTGCACAACTAGTCCAAGGATGGCTTCTACAATGACAAGATCGAGGACATGATCCAGAAGGAGCAGAATCGGCTCATCATCAACATCAACGATGTTCGCAAGGAAGACCCAGAGCTTGCCAGAGAGTACGTCGCCTGAACACACAAAACACACACACACACACACGCGCACACACGCACACACACACACGCACACACGCAACACAAAAGACGAACATCATCCATCTATTCATGCAAACACACACATGCATGCACACGTGCATACATGCACAAATGCGTCCGATATCTCATGTTGCTTTCTCTTCTCACCTCCCCAAACACACATGCATGCACGCACGCGTATCGTAGGACAATGACCTCGCCCATGCTTGAGGTCACGGCTGCTCAATTGGCTCTGAAGGAGCTTGTGGACACAAAGGACTCGGCATACTCCACAAAAGAAGGGAGCTTCTTCGTTGGGTTCAGTGGCTCCTTTGGCGCCCACCACGTTACACCGCGTGGCCTCTCCGCGGACCTTCTGGGCCGCCTGGTCTGCGTTGATGGCATCGTCTCCAAATGTGAGCTGAACAACATAACACGTGCCTGGCGTTGCATGTGGCTGGCGCTACACGTGCCTGGCGTTGCATGTGGCTGGCGGAACGTGATGCTGTGTGTGTGTGTGTGTGTGTGTGTGTGTGTGTGTGTGTGTGTGTGTGTGTGTGTGTGTGTGTGTGTGTGTGTGTGTGTGTGTGTTGGGGGGGGGGGGGCAGCCGCCCGTTTGTCGTCCGTGTTTGAGCTCGTGCGCTAGTGTTCTCGTGGTCAGTGTGGCAGATGCGCTCGCGTCTGCTCGTCGTGCAGCTTTATCTCGCCACTTTGCTTTTCTTCTTCTTCTTCTGTTTCATCTTCGTTTTACCGTCTCATCTTGCTTTGCGCACCTCTTGCTCCGCTTTGCAGGCTCCCTGGTCCATCCAAAGGTGGTGAAGAGCGTGCACTACTGCCCACAGACGAAGCTGTCACTTGAGCGTACCTACCGCGACGCCACCTCCATCGACGGGCTCCCCACATATGGCCTCTACCCACGCGAGGTGCGCTAGCATGCAGCATGGTGTAGTTGCGTGTTGTGCTGTGCTGTGCTGTGCTGTGTTGTGCTGTGTTGTGTTAATCTGTTTGGTTCGTTTGTTGCCGTGTCGTACGTAAATTGAGCGTGACAGTGAGTACAACCACCCACTCTCGTTCACATGCTCACCCGCAACCGCCCTGTCCCTCCTCCCCCTCTTTCCAAAAGGATGACCAAGGCAACCCGCTCGTGACGGAGTACGGGTACAGCGTGTACAAGAACCACCAGCGCATGACAATCCAGGAGATGCCTGAGCGGGCGCCGACAGGTCAGCTCCCACGCTCCATCGACGTTATTCTCGATGACGACCTCGTCGACACGGCAAAGGTTCGCCAGGCATGTGTTTGTGTGTTTGTGTGTGTTTGTGTGTTTGTGTGTGTTTGTGTGTTTGTGTGTTTGTGTGTTTGTGTGTGTTTGTGTGTTTGTGTGTTTGTGTGTTTGTGTGTGTTTGTGTGTTTGTGTGTTTGTGTGTTTGTGTGTTTGTGTGTGTTTGTGTGTTTGTGTGTTTGTGTTTGTTCGCGTGCTCGTATCTTCGTGCACGTTCGTGTCCGAGCAAGTGTGTGCTAAAGTCAGCCGGTTCACGTACTCACACTGTCCACCCATCCATGCTTCCCCTCTCCACCACCAATCCGCCTCCCTGCCTCCTACCCTACAACCCCACGACCAGCCTGGCGACCGTGTGCAGATTGTGGGCATCTACCGCGCGCTCCCCAACAAACGTGGCGGAACAACAAGCGGCGTCTTCCGGTCAGGCGCCATGGGATGATGATAGGTGGCAATGTTGTTGTGTGTTATTGGAGCGTGAGCTGTTGGTGGCGACGTTTGAATTGTGCTCGGATGTTGTGCTTCTTGTCACTCACATCATCATCATCATCATCATCATCATCATCATCATCATCATCATCATCATCATCATCATCGCCATCATCGACTGTTCAGCACTGTGCTCCTGGGCAACACCGTTCGGCAGCTGGAGAAGGAGGTGCAGATGCCTTCGCTCACAGGTGAGCTGGTGGTATCGTGGTGATGCCTCTTTGTCTCATGTGAAGCGTTTTGTTTCCACACATATATACACCATGCACACACACACACAGACACACAGACACAGACACACAGACACACAGACACAGACACACAGACACACACACACACACACACAGACACGCAGACAGACACACGCATATACAATGGGCGCACACAACTCACTCTTCTGCCTCCCCAACGCCACCAGACACGGACATCAAGAACATCCTGAAGATTTCGAAGCGCAAGCGGGGGCGGGACACGCCGTTCCACCTGCTTGCGCGCTCGCTCGCACCGTCCATCTACGGCAACGACGAGATCAAGATGGGCATCCTCTGTCTTCTTCTCGGCGGAACGGAGAAAAACCTCAAGCGCGGCGGACACATTCGCGGGTGCGGGGAGGACGAGGGAGATGGGGGGGGGGGAGGTGTGGTGTTTCTTGTGTTGTATTTGTTGTGTGCGTGCGTGCGTTCGTTCGTGCGTGCGTGCGTGCGTGCGTGCGTGCGTGCGTTGTATTTTGTTGTATTGCGTGTGTTGTGTGCTTTGTGGCGGTTTGTTTCATGTGTATTTTGTTGAACTGCCGTATCACATTGCAACGTGCAGGCGACCATCACCATCACCGTCGAAGTCGACGCGAAAACCGCGGCCACTCTCAACACTGGCGAGGTGAGCGTGCACGTGCACACGTGCAGAGTGCGAACCTTGTTTTCATCCTCGCACCGCCAACCATTCACAGCTGCAGTCTCACGCACACGCACACACACACACACACTCACTCCTTCATACGCACACACATACACACTCACTCCTTCATACATACACACACACACTTGTTCACACGCACAGCAACAACTGGATGACACGCTGATCCTTGCGTTGCGTCATGGATCAACCAAGTTCATCTCTGTGCACGGCGACTTTGTGCCGACCTGTCTCGGCCGCACCCTCGAGGACCTGTGCTACCTCAAGCGCCCAGCAAGGTGTGTGTGGTGTGTGTGTGTGTGTGTGTGTGTGTGTGTGTGTGTGTGTGTGTGTGTGTGTGTGTGTGTGTGTGTGTGTGTGTGTGTGTGTGTGTGTGTGTGTGTGTGTGTGTGCGAGCTTTAACAACGTGCATTTGCTTGCTTGTTGGGTGTTCCACTTTGGTTGCTCGCTTTTCCCACTCTCATCTGCACCACCACCACCATCTCCACCATCACCACCACCACCAGGCCGGCATCCACACGTCGTTGAATGCGCGGTGCAGCGTGCTCGCAGCCGCCAACCCGGTGTACGGCCAATACGACCCCTACTCCACGCCAACAGACAACATCGGCCTCCCCGACTCGCTCCTCTCCCGTTTTGATCTCCTCTTCATCGTCCTCGATAAGGTCTGTTCGCAGCGTCGTGGTGTGGTGGTGGCATGGTGGTGGCATGGTGGTTGTGTGGCGTCGCTTTGTGGTGTTGTGTGGTGTGAAACGTGTATGGTTTTGGCTGTTGCTTCTCGTCACAGCCGCTTGCTTGTACCGCGTTGCATCATCTCACCACCATCCTACCTCCCTATCTCCCGTCTTCACTATCAGATGGACCCCGAGGTTGACAGCAAGCTGGCCGGGCACGTGCTCAAGTCGCACCTGTACCGCCGTCCGGGCGAGAGCGAGGGCGAAGCGCTGCGGATGGAGACGGCCGGCGACACCGTCATCGTCGAGCCACCAGAGGTGATTTGGGGGCCCGGGGGGAGGAGATTGACGGTCCATTGGTGGTGGTGAAGGTAGTCGTGGTTTATGGTGGTGGTGGTGGTTGGAATTTGGTTCCAGGTTGACTCGGGATGAGCCAAAGCGCCACTCCATGTGCTTGCATCCTGTTCCTGTTCGAGGTTACGCCCTGCCACATCTCGGTTGACATGCGCGCGCGCGTGTGTGCTCTGCAGGATGAGGATGAGGAAGAAACGGATGTGTGGGCGGCGCATCAGCCGGGGATGGCGCGTCGCCGCGGTCGCGCTCGCATCCTCTCTGTCGACTTTGTCAAGAAGTACATCATGTACGCCCGCGCACGCTGGTGAGTTGTTGTGCATTGGTTTGGCACCCGTGTTGCCCATGTGCACATGAACTTGTAGTATCGCTTGTATTGACTTGGCCTTTGGCTCCCTTGGTTTGTATACTTTTCTGATGGCCAACCCTGCTCACACCAAATTCTCTCCCACCCACTGTCTCTCCTCTCTCTGTCTGTCTGTCTGTCTCCTTTGCAGCCAACCCAAGTTAACGGAGGATGCAGCGGAGTTTATTTCGGACGCGTACTCAACGCTTCGCTCGCGGGAGCACGACGACAAGACGCTGCCCGTCACTGCCCGAACCCTCGAGACCATGATCCGTCTCTCCACCGCACACGCAAAGGTTGGCATTGGTGGTGGTGGTGGTTGTGGTGGTGGTGGTGGATTGCGCCCTTGGCCCTGCCTCTCTGTGTGTTTTTGTGTGTGTGTGTGTGTGTGTGTATGGAAGACAGCAGTGTGTTGGTTGCTTGGTTGGTCACGGTGTGCGTAAGTTTGCTGACGTCTCATCCCCCCCCCCCAAAAAAAAAATTCCCGAATTGCAGAGCCGGCTGAGCCAGACGGTTGACCGGGCGGATGCTGAGGTTGCGATGGATCTCATCAACTTTGCCTACTACAACGAGGCCAAGCCGCTGGCAAAACCGCGCAAGAAGCGCCACCCCGACCACGACGACTCGGATTCCGACAGCGATGACGGCGTTGATGGCGGCGATCGCATGCCGTCCACGCCCAAACCAAAGCAGAAGCCCCGCGCTACAGCCACACCAACACGCAAGGCAGCGCGCAAAGGTCAGTCAACTGGCTATGCCGTGTTTGTGCTTGTGTGTACGTGTGTGTATGTTTGTCCTTGCGTGTGTACTTGTGTGTGTGTATGTTTGTTTGTGTATGTGTGTGTGCTTGTGTGTGTGTGCTTGTGTGTGTGTGCTTGTGTGTGTGTGTGTGTGTGTGTGTGTGTGCTTGTGTGTGTGTGTGCTTGTGTGTGTGCTTGTGTGTCGCTTGTGTGTTCGCACTGTTGTGTGTGCCTGGTACATACATTCACGTGCAGCTGTGATTGGGCCTTGACGTTTGTCGTTGAATCTTCATGGCGCTGCCTTGCATCTGCATTCATTATCTCACCACTGCGCACCACGTGCGCATGTGTGCAGCAGCGAACGGCCAATCGGACGCGTCACCAGCGAAATCATCCGCATTTTCAAAGGCGCGATCCGCAACAGCAGCATCGGTGCGTAGAGTGCTGTCGTCGTGGTGTCGTGTGTTTTGTTGTCTCAATGTCGCATTGCATCAGGGTTGTAAACATCTCATTGTATGTGCATGACTGAGTACTTCCCGAACTCAGTTCTTCCTTCTTCCTACTGACTCCCTTACTCACACATGTACACACACACACACACACACACACACACACACACACACACACACACACACACACACACACACGCACGCAGGGCGCGTATGACCCGTATGACTTTGATGCGCCAACGACGGCTGCTGGAGAGGAGCAGCCCGCGAAAAAAGCCAAGCAGTCTTCCTCATCGTCGTCTGCAACCACCACCACCGCCGCCGCTGATGGTGATGAGAATGGCACTGCCCAAGCACAGGAGGAAGAGGAGGAGGAGGAGGCAGCAGCAGGCACAGGTGTGTGCATGAGCATGCTTTGCTACTGCTCCATGCGAAATGCGACGTTTGTTTGCGTGTGTATTGTTGGAACCGACGTGTGCGACGTGTGCTTGCGTGTGATTTGTTTTGACACCAAACACACACTGCGGTGCATTCACACAAGTACAAACACACACTTGTGCATTCACACGAACTGTCCCCTGTCCCCACATCCGCCTCCTCTGCTGTGCGTGTGCGCGTGTGTGCAGCGATTTCTGCGGACGAGATGAACCGGTTCAAGGCGGCGGTGTTGGCCGTGTACAAATCCCTCAAGCACGAGACGGTGCAGATCAGCGAACTCTTGGATGCGGTCAGTTGTGGTCCACGATGCGCACATGCGTGGATGTCGACGCGTGCACTCTTGTCGCTTGCTTTTGCTTGTGAACATTCTACTTTGAGGACGCGTGCTGACACACACACACACACACACACACACACACACACACACACACACACACACACACACACACACACACACACACACACACACACACACACACACATCGCATCACGCACCACAGCTGGCCAAGCAAGGCATGACGTTGACTGAGGAGGAAGCGCGCGACCGGCTGGCCATTATGCAAGAAAACAATCTGGTGTATGTCAGTGACGACACCGTGTTCCTCGTCTAGCCGTTCCCTCCTCGCCGCGCATATGCACGATTGTCCCTTGTTGTCGACAATACACCACCCCGCTTGCATTCCACTGTTTTGTAAATGCCTCGGTTTGCTCCCCTTCTCTTTTGTGTTGTGTTGTTGTGTGGCGAGTGTTGTGTGCATTGTGTGCTTACTGCTTGCTCCCAATAGCCTGTCTGTGTGCACTTGATCAGTCATTCCCTTTGCTCGCACCCCTCCCTTGCTCCTCTTTTGCTGGCCGTTGCATGGTGTCACCAATTCAACACACATACACTGTAGCTGACAGCTGCCTTGAAGTTGTTTAACAAAAGGAGCACAGGGGCATGCACGCACGGAACTACAACGGGGTAGACGTAACCTATGTAACCTTGAGGAGGCTCTAGACACCATGGGACTGTGGCCATGACGACACGCTGCTAGAACTGACGAAGATCGTTCTGTTCGTCCGGCAGCGTCACCTCGATGCCGTCCAACTCGGGCGACAGGATGATTTGGCACCCGAGCCGAGACCTGCAAGTGTGGTTGCAGTGTGGTGTAAGAGCAAACACGATGAGGAGCAGGGGCGCGTGTGCGTGCGTACTTGTGTATGTGTATACGCTCGCCCGCACGCAGCAGCATGCACAGTGGCGGGAAAAGCGTGGCACGCACACACACACACACATGGACACACACACACACATGGACACACACACACACATGGACACACACACACACATGGACACACACACACACACACACACACACACACACAGTACGACACACACACACACACACACACACACACACACACACACACACACGGGCACACTGACGTGTCTGTGAGGCCGATGGCAAGGTCAAGCATATCCAATTCCTCGTCCACGGGTTCCTCTAGCTTCTTGAACCACTCTTCGTCGATGATCAAGTGGCATGTTGAGCACGCGAGTGTTCCTCCACAAGCCCCTGCATCACCGCATGGCAAGCGTGCATGACTGAGCTTCGAGCACATTTGTTGCTGCTCATGAACCAACAACACAAGCAAGGTATGTGGCGTTGTACTTGAGACAAGTCCACACACAGACAGACAGACAGACAGACAGACAGACAGACAGACAGACAGACAGACACACAGACACACAGACAGACACATGTGCACACAAATGCAGACACACGGGCACACCTTCGAGGTCGATGTCGTTGTCGATGGCCACGTCAAGGAGGTTCTGTCCAACGCGGGCTTCACAAACCTGGCTGCCACCCTCAGTGTCCTTGAACACGACGCGGACCTTGTCTTCCTTGGCCAAGGCCTTCCGTGTTGTGTGTAGTCTCGCCCTTGTGGGTGCCATCAGCGATGATGATGAGCAGGAGTGCACGGGCGACGTGCGGTGTGGTGTCGCAGGAGCGGTTCGAAGCCACCGCGCGGTCGTCGCTGTGGAGACGGACCGTGCTGGCGCCAACGCGGCCAGCTCAAGGCGGCCAGCAGCCACAGCCCTCCCGCCACCAAACACCACTGCTGCTGCCCCCCTCCGCACCAGCGCTAGCATGCTCCTCATCCTGTTGTTGTTTGCACCACGTTGCAGCGCTGCCAGCATCGTCATCGTGGGTGTCGATTCTGTGCAAATTCATGAAACAAATGGCGCAAAGATGCAAAAAGATGCAAACATGTAGAATACAAATCATGGTGTCGTGGTCGATACATACAAAAACCTGGCTGCTTCGCTGCTGCACACAGCTCAACAACAAGGCGCAATAACACCAGCAGCACCACCTGGTCGCTCGCAACGTTGTCGCAGATACTCCGCTCGCTGCACCGCACTTGTTCCCTCGTCCCTCTGTCTCTGTCTCGCTCTCTCTCGCACTCTCCCATACTCTCGTCACCTTTGGATATGCTGCGCCAGTTTGTGCGGTGTGCGCATCGCGCGACGCGCGCTTTGCAGAACGCAGAGCAGGCTGCTGTGGTTTCAAACACCACCAGCTCTACCGGGGTCTCCACGCCTAACAGCGACGACCGCATGCCAGTGTACCTGGACGTCCAGGCAACCACACCTGTGGTGCGTGTGTGTATGTGCTTTGTGTGCTTGTGTGCTTGTGTGCCTTGGCTTGGTTGCTGGTATAAGCAAGCTTGTGGTTGGTGCTCTTTGCGGCAAGAGCGGTGCTGCTACTGCATGCATGACTCACGTGTAAACCGGGTGCGTGATGACGTTGTTTCAGGATCCACGTGTGCTGGATGCCATGCTGCCGTATCTCATTGACGACTTTGGCAACCCGCACTCTCGCAACCACAAATACGGCTGGGTGGCCGAGGACGCCGTGGAAAAGGCCAGAAAGGTAGATTCCTTGTATGCGTGCGTGCGTCGTGTGTGCGTGTGCGTGTGTGTGTATGTGTGTGTGTGTGTGTTCGTCTGGTATGAGCCGAGTGAACCGTCGAGGCACGGACATGCCACACAACTCCGTCCCTTACGCATTGTGTGTTGGGGTGGTTTGATATGGTAGCACATTGCCGATCTTATCGGCGCAGACCCTCGTGAGATTTTCTTCACCAGGTATGCGTCACAGCAAGCAGTGTGTGCGTGTGTGCGTGTGTGCGTGTGTGCGTGTGTGCGTGTGTGCGTGTGTGCGTGTGTGCGTGTGTGCGTGTTGGGTGACGCCTGTTGTGGCCCCATTCCGCCAGCCTTGCGTCAAGTGACAGGCGTTGCGTGTGTGTGTGTGTGTGTGCTTGCGTGCATGCGTTTGCGGTGTTTGGTGCAGTGGAGCAACAGAGTCGAATAACATGGCCATTAAGGGCATTGCCCACTTCTACAAGTCAAAGAAGCGCCATGTCATCACCGCTGCGACGGTGTGTGCGGGTGCACATGCATGTATGGATGTTTGTGCCATTTGCCCCTTCTGCCTGCCTCTTGACAACTATGTGTTCTCCCCACGCACCTTTCTCGGACTTGTTTGCGGACTTGTTTGGGATGGTATGCTGGTGCTCACTCAACATCGGTGTTGTCCACTCCCGCATGTCTGGTTGTTGTTGTTGTTGTTGTTGTTGTTGTTGTTGTTGTTGTTGTTGTTGTTGTTGTTGTTGTTGTTGTTGTTGTTGTTGTTGTTGTTGTTGTTGTTGTTGTTGTTGTTGTTGTTGTTGTTGTTGTTGTTGTTGTTGTTGTTGTTGTTGTTGTTGTTGTTGGGGCAATAGGAGCATAAGTGCGTCTTGGATTCGTGCCGTGTGCTGCAGCAGGAAGGGTTTGACGTGACGTATCTGCCTGTCACACAGTCTGGCGCCATCGACCTCGAGGTATTGCAACGTGTTGCGGCGTGGCGGTGGTGACGATGTGTCATCCGTGTGTGTTGGTGGTGGTGGTGGTGGTGGTGTTGTTGCTCAAGTGTGTTGTGCATGTGTGTCATTTGCGGACGCACTCAGGCACACGCGTACTCACCTACTCACACAACATCTCCGTGCGCGTGCGTGTGGTTATGTGCTCATCAGGAGTTCAAGGCGGCGCTGCGCCCGGACACGGGCCTCGTCTCCATCATGACGGTCAACAACGAGATTGGTGTCGTGCAGCCCGTCAAGGAAATTGGCCGCATCTGCCGCGAGCACAAGGTGCTGCCTTGTGCTACATTGTGCGTGCGTGCGTGGGTGCGTGTGTGTCTGTGTGTGTAGCTTCCGCACTCCCTCGTTCTGCTCGTTGTCCTTGTACCTTCGACTCTTCAACACACCTGAACTCGCCCCCGCCCCAAATTTGTCCTCCCAAATCTGCCAGGTGCACTTCCACACGGACGCCGCCCAGGCAGTTGGCAAGATCCCTGTCGACGTGAACGAGTGGAATGTCGATGCCATGAGCATCAGCGGCCACAAGCTCTACGGTCCCAAAGGTCAGTGCCGTTGTCGTGGCAACGACGATGATGGTGTTAATGGTTGTGGTTGTGGTGGTGGAGAGTGATGGCTGGTGGTGGTGGAAAGTGTTGGTGGTGATGGCTGCTGGTGCATGTGCAATTAAGAGAAGGTTGTTTGTCCTGTGAGCATGTCCCCAACACACTAGCGCTACCTGTCAACCTACGCAATGATCCACACTTTATCACCACGCGATGATTACTTACGACGACGATGACGATGATGATGGTGGTGGTGGCCAGGCGTTGGTGCGATTTACGTCCGCCGCCGCCCGCGCGTGCGCCTCGAGCCCCTCATCAACGGTGGCGGCCAGGAGCGGTGCGTTGCATGCACGTTGCATGCGAGCTGGATGTTTGCTGGATGTGCTTTGTGTGTATATCTTTATGTGCCTTAACGTGTCCCTCTGTATGCGTGCGTATGTGTCTGCCTATCTGAATCTTTGTGTCGCAGTTGGCACAGCGCCACCCTTCCCCCTCCTTCACGCATGCCCACTCACCCTCTGCGTGTATGTGCGCCTGCAATTACAGCGGTCTTCGAAGCGGGACAGTGCCGACGGCGCTTGCCGTTGGGCTTGGCGAGGCGTGCAAGGTTGCAGCAGAGGAGATGGCCAACGACACGGCGCACATCCGCCGCCTCCACGACCGCCTCGTCCGCGGCATTTGCGATGAGGTCGAGACGGGGGGCAGTAGCGTGGCGTCGTCAACGTCGTGGTGGTGCTGGTGGTGGTGCTGCTGCTGCATGATGCGTGACGGGGATGTGAATAGTTTGATATCTCACGTGAACCACGTGAACCACGTGAACCACGTGAACCACATGTGTACCGCTCACACACACACACACACACACACACACACACACACACACACACACACACACACACACACACACACACACACACACACACACACACACACACACACACACACACACACACACACACACACACACACACAAAACAGATCCCCGAGGTTGTGTACAACGGCGACGAGGCGACCGGGTATGCCGGGTGCGTCAACCTCTCGTTTGCGTACATCGAGGGCGAGTCGCTGCTCATGGCGCTCAAGGACATCGCCCTCTCCTCCGGCAGGTGCGCACATGGTGGACAGGGGTCGTATCAAACCCTAGCTGAAGCGGTGTTGATTGCAGTGTTGGTGGTTGAGCGGACTGTCATTTTGTTTGCCGTGAGTGAGTGGTTGCATGCGGCCAGCCCCATGCTGTGACCTGACCACCACCTGCTCACCCCTGCCTCACACCCCCCTTTGACTTCCCGCCACGTCACGGAATGCCACGTGTGCAGTGCGTGCACGTCTGCGTCGCTTGAGCCGTCGTATGTGCTGCGTGCGATTGGGGCAGCAGAGGACCTTGCACACTCGTCCATCCGCTTTGGCCTCGGCCGCTTCACCACCGAGCAGGAAGTCGACTACACCGTCGAGCGCGTACGTCATTGGCATCATCGAGGCTGGCACGAGAGGGGGGGGGGAGTGGTGGTGGTGGTGATGGTGGTGGTGGTGGAGCGGGTAAATGGGAAGTGTGTGTGTGTGTATGGTGCACGCCATGCATCCATCTTATTGCCTGATTTTGAGCATCACAGCTCGCCTCCTCTTTACCTCTACCTCACACTTTCCTCCCATCGTCATCATCATTGCCGTCTCCAGGTTGTTCGGCACGTGAACCGACTGCGTGAGATGAGCCCGCTGTGGGAGATGAAGCTCGAAGGCATCGACATCAACCAGATTCAGTGGTCCCAGCACTGAGCATGTGCCCACGCACATCCGTTTGTTGTCGGGACCACCTCACCCCGCGCTCGTTTGTGTGTATGGACATGGGTGCCCTTGAGCCACCAACATGCGCCCGTCCTTCGCTACTGACATGACATACTACCAACCCAATCCACCTCTTCCATATCTTTGCTTCACATCGTAGTGAGCTCGTGTGTGCAGTTTCCCAATGTCATTGTGTGTGTGTGTTGCCATGCGCATGAGGATGAGTTCGTGCGCGTATAATGGGGAGTGGCGAACACCTAATACAGAAAAAGAGAGTAACTCAATGCAAATGTGACGGATACACAACAGTTGGGTCGGCTATCCAAAGTAGATGTACACAACAACCATGACAATGGTGGACACCACCATCCCAGCAACCATTATGTACATGTCTTGCGTCGACCGCTGCTCTATCATCCTCATCACAGTTTGAGACAGTCCTGCACATATCATGTGAGTGTTTGTGTGTGTGTGTGTGTGTGTGTGTGTATGTGTGTGTGTGTGTGTGAGTGTGAGTGACTGAGTGACTGAGTGAGTGTGTGTGTGTGTGTGTGTGTGTGTGTGTGTGTGTGTGTGTGTGTGTGTCTGACTGGTGGAAGCGCAATAACGGGTGAGTGGGTCAATGCACCCGCTCTCGCATGAATGGTATTGCATTCACGAGACACATGCCCCTGGAGAGCAAGAGTAGCAGGTTTTCACGCACAACCACAACGCAGACAGCACAACACAGAAGAACAAACCTAGGCGATGGCCCACGTCAAGCAGCCGCCGTTGTATTCTCTAATTCACACAAGACAGACACACACACACACACACACACACACACACACACACACACACACACACACACACACACACACAGAGCACACACAGAGCACACACATGCATGGTGCAGTGAGACGACTGGTATTGTTTTGCATACGCACGACAGCAAGGACGGCACGCTAGCAAGGGCGGCACGGGCGTTGCTCACCTTCATGGTTTCATCCTGTTCAGCCAGGTCGCGAAGGATGTGTGTGCCCGTGGCCAGCAGATTGTCGATTCCTGACGGGTGAGCATGGTGGTTGCGGCAAATGGGGTAGGGGGCGGGGTGTAGATAGAGAAGTAGGGTGCAGATGAAGGCAAGGGTTGGGGGTGCAGCGGCAGGTGTGAGGCGAATGTGACTGAACGGAAGAGTGAGTGTCACATGGTTCTTGTTGTTGGAAGCGTGTACCAGTTTGGAGAGTGCCAGTGTGCCTGATATTGGTGATGGTGGATGGTGGTGGTGGTATGGTGCGGTGTACGAACCGGAGGAGGCGCCGTGTACTCTGTCCTCATACGCAAGGTTGGGATCATCGATGAAGATGGATGTGTCCTGGTGTAGTGTTGGTAAAAGGAAGCGCGGTTGTTTGGAGTACGGGCGGGGAAGGTGGGGGGAGGGAGAGAGGAAGGAAGCAAGAAGAGGAAACGGGGGGAGGTGACATGTGTGTGTGTGTGTGTGTGTGTTGGGGGGGGGGGGAGGGGAAGAGACGAGTGTCAAGGTGAGTGGGCGGAAAGACAGAGGCAGAGAGAGAGAGGGGGGGGGGAAGGGAATGAAGGAGAGAGATGGAGGGAGAGGAGCAGGGGTGAGGTTGGCACAAGAGTGTGAGGTGCGCAGTGGGGAGGGGGGGGGGAGGGGTACACTCAGCTATGCACAGGCAGACGAACAGACGCAGACGAACAGACGCGGACAGAGACAGAGGCACAGACACAGACACAGACACAGGTGCAGACACAGGCGCAGACACAGGCGCAGACGCAAAGACAGACACAGAGACAGACACAGACACAGGCGCAGACGCAGAGACAGACACACAGACACACAGGCACGTACGTCGTCCTCATCGTCGAGCAACCGCTTGCGAGGACTGGTTTGGTGAGCCATGGTGATGTTGTGATGCGAGACATGAATGAATGTCTGCGTCAAGCAAGGAAACGAAGCACCGCACATACCAAAACAAAGCAAACTAAGGAAAAAAAAACAAAATACAGACAGGGGCCGGGTGGAATCGAACCACCGACCAATCGGACTGCAGCCGAACGCGCTACCACTGTGCCACGACCCCCCTTGATACTTGGGGCAAAATTTCATCATATGTACACAAGCGTTATGCAAACAAGCAAGAAGCACACCAAACAAGCAAGAAGCATGGCTCAAGTGGCTGGCTTCGGCCACCTCCTTAAAAGCGACCCGCAACACAACATGCGTGTTTGGTGTGCTGATGGTGGTGGTGGTGGTGGTGGTGGTGGTGGTGGTGTAATTCTCGCTTGCTTGCTTGGAAATCACCACGCAACACCTCCCTCCGTGCTTGTCTTCGTTTTGGCTTTTGGGACTTTTACTTTGTGAGTTTCCACTCCAACCTCACACCACCTGCATCTCTCCCTCTCTCTCTCTCTCTCTCTCTCTCTCTCTCTCTCTCTCTCTCTCTCTCTCTCTCTCTCTCTCTCTCCACCTCCTGCACTGCAATAGCGCAGAGCGCTCAAAGAGACGCGAACGGTCGTCAGTTAAACAAGGCACAAGCAAGAGCCAACACACCAGCCACCCAGGGCAATTCTGTACATCACGCTGCAACACACACAACACACACACACACACACACAACACACACAACACACGCACGCACACAGCACACACACACACACTCTCTCTCTCTCACACGCACACACGGTGCTCAATAGTGCTCCAAGACAACAATAGTCATAGTCAGGCTAGACAATGGACACGTCTGTCATGGTCATGGGCGTAAACTGCTCGTTCGTCAGGTGCATCACCGCCTCGTTCACCGTCTTGAAAAAGTGATCCTCCCCAACTGTGGAAAGCGTGGGTGCATGGCACAAAGTGTGAGTCCACACAAGGAGAATAAAACATTCACGCATATACCGCTGTTGTGGACGCTCCAAGAACACACACAACACACACACACACACACACACACACACACGTGCACACATGTGCACACACACACCACCGCCATGGATGCTCACCGTGCTCGGTAAAGCCGATGCGCTCGAAGATGTCACGGACGGGGCCCTTGACGCCCGCAAAGTACACAGAGATGCCCTTGCGCTCCGCAGCCTGTTGGCGTGGAGGGGTGTGGTGTGGTGGGTTTCGGTGAGCATTCATGTGGTACACAGACGTCGTGACTTTGGATTGAGGAGGGGAGCAGAGTTGGGCAACATGAGCACCGCAACGATGCACAAGTATGTACACACATATATCACAGACACACCACAGACACAGACACAGACACAGACACAGACACAGACACAGACACAGACACAGACACAGACACACACACAGACACACAGACACACACACACACACACACAGAGCATTTGGACGAACCTCGAGCACTTTCTCCATGGCGTGGAACGCGGTGGAGTCAACGTGGCTCACGGGCGTGAAGTTAATGATGACATTCTCAACGCCGCGCACATAGCACCTGAAGCAGCCGCACAGGCCAAAACAGCGCACACCCTCATTGTCAGCGCACGCGCAGAAAAATAGTGGCACATGGCGACCACGGGAGCACCCACAAGCTACCATGCATCACACACACACACACACACACACACACACACACACACACACACACACACACACAGACAGGCAGGCAGACAGACAGGCAGACATAAACACACCTCTTCTGGACTTGGCGCTCAAAAACGGTGGCGTTGACAAAGAAGATGTCGGCGTCAAAGCGGAAGATCTTGATGCCCTTGGGCTCAATCGCATCAGGAAACCTGCAAGCAGTCGCGGGTGCAGGCGTCAGCACGCGCGCAAATCATGGGCTCCATGCACACGGTACGATACGTCACGACAACACCAATTGAACAAGACAGCCGAGAAAGACACAAACGGCTCGTGTGTCCACCGTTGACCATTCACCAGAACGCACGGTGCACGCACGACCCCACAGGACCCCACAGGACCCACCTCCTGATGTTGCGGTACACGTCGGTGCCGGGAAGGCGGCCCTCGAGCGTGTAGTGTGGACGCGACGCCTGCCACACCACCGCAAGCAGCGCAAGCGCAATACTGCACCCAACACATTGTTGCAAAGACACATACACGTTCGTGTGTGAGGGAGAGAATTGCGTCATGGATGCTCGGCGCATTGTGGCAAGACAAGGTTTGAAGTACCTTGACGGCATGCACACGCGCACACACACACACACACACACACAGAGCAGAGGCAGGGTCACAAAGAGCTGCGCACCTGATACCGACACCGAGCTCGACGCCAATGAAAGCGGTGAGGAGGAAGGTCACAACCGTCAGCACAGACTCAATCTTGCTGATCTTCCACAGATGAAACGGCTCCTGTACACCGCAATCGCGCGCGCACACATTCACATCCGCAAGGGTGAGAGAGAATTCCCAACAGCAACGGATACAATAACAACAACACTAGCAACAGCAGCAGCAGTGGCAGGAGGGATAGAAAGAAGCAGGCAAGACAACACAGCAACAGCCACGCGCATCACCATCAACACCACCACCAGCTGACCTTGAAGTTGACGAGTGGGAGGACGGCGATGATGATGATGGAACCGAGAATGGCCTTTGGCAGGAAGAAGAAGAGCTCCGTGGCAGCCAGCAGCGCAATCATCACAACAATACCAGCTACAGCACACACACGCGATGGCAAGCAACAAGGTTGGCGTGAGCCTTTGGCGAGCACATTGACCAATCACAACAACCCAAAAATTGAGGCAACACACACGCACACACACACGCACGCACACACACACACGCACGCACACACACGCACACACGCACACACACACCCAGGATGGTGGCGAGCTGTGTCTTGCATCCTGCGTTGGCGTTGACAGCGGAGCGAGAGAAGCCGCCTGTGGTTGGGTATGTCTGGAAGAACGAGCCAACAATGTTGCATGCGCCGAGAGCAACAAGCTCCTGGTTGTAGTCGAGTTGGTAGTTTCGGTCATCAGCAAGCTTCTTGGCGATGGCCATTGATTCCATGTACGACACGAGCGCGATGGTGAGCACCAACACCAGCAGGTCTCCAAAGTCCTTTGTGTCCGGCGCTTCCGGCGTTGGCAGACCAGCAGGCACATCACCAACAATCTGAGGGTGTGTGTGTGTGTGTGTGTGTGTGTGTGTGTGTGTGTGTGTGTGTGTGTGTGGAACAGGTGGGAGAGGGCGTGTGAACGTGTGGGTGCGAGTGTGTGAGTATGGAAAAGCACACAGAACCGAGCAAAGTCACGCACAACAAAGCAGTATTCTGTGCGAGAGGGTCAAGTCACAAATGGTGGCAGGAAATGGTGGTAGCAGTGACGACGCACCTTCACGCCCTTGTCATTGAGGCCTGTGTTGGCTGAGATGAGGGTGAAGATAATGACAACAACCATGGCGCTGGGGAGGGGCTTGAAGTACTTGCGGAACCAGTTGAACTTCTCGGACTGTGGCGGGTACTTCCAGAAGAGGATGATGGCCATGCTGGCGAGGGAGATGACGACTGTGCGCCAGTTGGCGTTGTGGATCTCCTCAAACGTCCACTGCAGCACCTCGTGCACGTGCGAGCTGCGCTCGATGGAGATGCCGAGCACGTGCTTGAGCTGGGACAGCGCAATGATGAGGGCGGAGGCGGAGGTAAACCCGCTCAGCACCGAGTGGGACAGGAAGTTGATGATGAAACCGAGACGCAGGATGCCCATGCCCATCTGCACAAAGCCGAGGAGGAGGGCGAGGGAGATGGCGGCGCCGATGTACTGCGGCCGCTCTGTGACCGGGTCGTACAGCTCGGACACGCCTGCAGAGGTCAGCAGCGACACGACGGCGACAGGGGCCGTGGACAGCTCGCTGGACGTGCCGAGGAAGCCATACAGCAGTGGGGGGATGAAGGCGCTGAAGAGGCCGTACTCCACAGGCAGCTCTGCCAAGAGCGCATAGGCCAGACCCTGTGGAATCAGAAGAATACCAACGGTCAAGCCAGCCCTTGCATCGCCAGCAAGCTTCTCCTTCCAGTTTTCCCTGTTGTGAGTGAGGGTTTTGGTGAGGGGGAGGAGATGGACACGGGGAAGAGAGGGAAGCAAGCGACGGGGGATCGACAGTCAGACACACGAGCGCGCATGCACACACACAGACACACGCACACAGACAGACCGACCGACACGTGGTTGCACGCACTTGTATTTGGGTGCCCAGGTGAGGATCGGCAGGACAGTAAAGATGACGGTGAGGACGGCGTTCTTCCAGCCTTCGAGGGTCTTCAAGGACTCCATGGTCACCTTGGGTCGCTTCGCCTCATCCTCCTCGTCGAAGCTGAGGGATTCTGCGAGCGGTTCGAGGGTCAGGCCGGCCATAGCCTTGGAGCCGTTCAGCTTGATGGTCGTGTCGCCGTTCATGGAAGGGGTGCCGCCATTCTCCGTGGATGGCGTGGCAGCCGTGGTCGTGGTCGCCGGTGTCGGCGCGTTGGTGTTGTTGTCGTTGTCCGACATTGCCGACTTGTGTCGTCGTCAGTACGGAGACAAAAGGGCAGTTGGCAATGCGATGAGATGAAATGGTCCTTTGGCGCTGGCAGTGATTTGGAGTTATGTGTACGGTTCGATGGAAGAAGAAGAAGAAGAAGCGCTTGTTCTACTCATCAAAAGGACCTGCACAACAGCGCTGAACCCAGGTGGAAGCAAGAGAAACCATTTGGGGAGTGGAGTGAGTGATTGGCAGCAAAGCATGTCAGGCATTGGGGGAGGGAGGGGGAGAGGAGATTGGCTTGGGGAAAGAGCAGCCAGCTGATTGCTGATTGCAGACGGGGGATCGGATCAAAGCAAGCGACAACAAGCGAAAGCACAAGCGAAAGGAAGCGAAAGCAAGCATGGACCGGGCGGGGGGGGGGGGATAGGTTGTCTAGGGCTGGCAGGGGTGCGTGCATCCACTCATGCACTCAAACGCACACCACACACCTCGAAGAGATAAATGAACCAAGGGTTGCTTCTTTGCCACACACCCAACAACAACAACAACCGTCCATTGCCACAACAGGCTTGCGTAGTGACACAGGAGGTGAAGCAAGAACAGAACGCAGCCCAGGACGACACAACACACTTTGGGTCAGGGTTGTGAAGTGAAGTCGCCTCACGAAGTGTGTGGTGGTGGTGTTGCTTCGCCTACTTCTTCGCACCTGCAGGCACTTCATCGTTGCGTCCGGGCCACACCGATATTCATGTTTGACTTGTTTAATTGGACTTGAATGACATCATCACCAGGTGTCCCGAATGCGTTGTTGCGTTCGTGTCCGCGTTCTGACAACTCCTCCCTCGTCGCATCAATCAATCTCTCCCCCCCCCCCCATGTCTTCACATCAGCGACCTGCACATGGGGCAGGTGTTGTTGCCGCTGCTGCTGAACCAGCGCGCAATGCAGTCGGCGTGGAACAGCTTCCGGCACGTGGGGCATTTCTGAAATGCAGTGGTGGGAGGGGGATGGGGGTGAGTGGGCTGGCTGTGAAAAACAGGGGCGAGGGACAGGCAGGCAGACATACTGACAAACACACACACACACACACGCATCCGCAGACAGACATACTTACAGGCAGACATACTGACAAACACACACACACACACACACACACGCATCCGCAGACAGACAAACTTACAGACACACACACGCACGCACGCACGCATTCACAGGGTGGGACGTACGATGGTGGGAAGCTGATAGTTGGTGCCGTGCACAATGGAAAAGCACACGGTGCACTCCTCCATGCCCTCAAACTTCTTGTCCACGTTTCGTTTCCACGTCTTGAGGGCATCCAGGATGCTGCCGTTCTGGTTGGTCATGTACATGCTCAGCTGCAACATCCACGACCGCCACAGCGCCGCTGACACCCCGAGCCGCTGCCCGCACTGCACCTGCAATCACGAGTGGGCGCAGAGTGAAAGGGGGGGGAGCGTGCATTGCGTGTGTGTGTTTGTGTGAGTGAGTGAGTGTTTGTGTGAGTGAGTGAGTGAGTGAGTGAGTGAGTGAGTGAGTGAGTGAGTGAGTGAGTGAGTGAGTGTGTGTGTGTGTGTGTTTGTGTGAGTGAGTGAGTGAGTGAGTGAGTGAGTGTGTGTGAGCGAGCGAGTGAGTGTGTGAGCGAGCGAGTGAGAGACAGAGAGAGAGAGAGAGAGAGAGAGAGAGAGAGAGAGAGAGAGAGAGAGAGAGAGAGAGAGAGAGTGTGTGTGTGTGTGTGTGTGTGAGAGTGA